GCCCGCCCCCCGAGCCTCCCCTCCCAGCGTGGTCCCCGCCCCCTCCGGGCGGAATCCCGCCCCTCCTAGGCCCTGCAGGACACCACCCGCCCTCGCCCCGGCCACCCGGTCTCCGGGTTCCGCCTCACGTAGCCCCCGACTCACTCACGGGGCCGCCCCTCCCCCAGGGCGTCTCTTCCCCCTGCCCAAGGGCTCCCTCCCGCCTTCCCTCTTCGGTAGTGGGCGTGGCGACGTCCGCTAGGGTCACCGAGGCAACCGCTGAGCGGCCAGTGCGCATGCCCCACCCTTGCTGCCCAGGCCCCCCGGGGCGAGGGGACCCGCTGGGAGACCGACCGGGGGGAGTCGGTCCACCTGGCTGCGAACTCCAGGGAGTAAGGGCAGCACGCGGCTTCTTGGGGGTCTCGGTCCAGACGGATGGGGAGGCTGCGTCCGAACCAGCAGAGGCCAGGGAGAAACTGCGGCAGTCCAAGGAGGAGACTGACGTCCCGAGGGGCCCTGGCCTCCTGTGCGCGCTGCGCGGCAGTTTCCAGGTTTGCCGCACCCGGCTCTGAGCCCAGGAGGCTAGGGGGTCCCTGGATGCCATGAGTGTTTTCCAGGATGGTTATGAATTTGTGGGAGCAGGAGAGGCACCCACACGCTCCAGAGGACAGCTGACTGCCCCTTGTAGAAAGGAGCCCAGCGCAGAAGGTTAGGACCGCGGTATAATTGGCTCGCCCTGCGTCCTCTGCGGGGAGAGGGTGCTCCGGTCCCCGTGTGTACGGTGCGAACTTTGGGAAAGCAAGTCGTTAGCGGCTATCGGAATTTTAACGTGCGTATCCTCCTTTCCAGCAATTCACTCTTTTTTTTTTTTTTGAGACAGTCTCACTATGTCATCCTGGGTAGAGTGCTATCGCGTCACAGCTCACAGCCACCTCTAACTCTTGGGCTTAAGCGATTCTCTTGCCTCAGCCACCCACGTAATTGGGACTACAGGCGCTCGCCACAACGCCTGGCTATTTCTTTGTTGTAGTTGTCATTGTTTAGCAGGCCCAGGCGGGATCGAACCCGCCAGCCCCAATGCATGTGGCCAGGCCCTAACCACTGAGCTACGGGCGCCAAGCCAGCAGCAATTAACTTCGGTAGAGAATTTTTTCCTTTACTCACTTCGTATTGCTTATAGTTCCGCTCCAAATGTATATTCATGTATTACTTGAGTGATTTAAAAATACAACTTAAAAAAGAATCCCGAAGAATAGCCTTCTGTTAAGTTCTAAGCTTTATGGCTCCACAAGTCTTTAAAAAAATCAAAGGCAACCTTTTGGGTTTCTAGGAGTAATTACCCTTTTATTTTATTTTATTTTTGAGACAGAGTCTCAAGCTGTCACCCTAGGTAGAGTACCATGGCGTCATAGCTCACAACAACTTCCAACTCTTGGGCTCAAGTGATCCTCTTGCCTCAGTTTTTCTGTTTTTAGTAGAGACTGTGTGTGTGTGTGTGTGTGTGTGTGTGTGTGTAGGGGTGTCTCGCTTTTTTTTTGCAGTTTTTGGCTAGGGCTGAACCCACCCCCTCTGGCATATGGGGCCGGTGCCCTACTCCTTGAGCCACAGGCACCACCCGCTTTTTGCTCAGGCTGGTCTCGAACTTATTAGCTCAGGCAGTTCAGCCTCCCAGAGTGCAAGGATCACATGTGTGAGTAATTACGGGCCTGATTACCCTTTTAAAATAAGAAAGAGCTCAGACTCCTTTCTGGGAGCTACCAGTCAGGGGGTGATAACTTTGTGCAAGGTTTGGGGAGGGACCTCAGGGACCTTGCAGGCATTCAGCCAGGGTTGTGGTATATAGAGAATCGAGCCTCCTTGAAACTGAGAGTAGGGCAACACCACCACCAAACCCCACCTTGTTCTCAGTGAGATAAAGCCCACCAACATACCTTCCCCTCCTCCAGTGACCTCCAAAACCTCCTGGCACAAACATTACAAAATAGAACCACTTAGACCTACTAAAGACCACCCAGTAAGGCTCAAAAACTTAGGGAATTGCAAAGACCAGAAGGTGAGGCATGCACTACCAACAAGCGGGGAATGTGCTGGAGGTGCTGTCAGAACAAACCCTGCAAGCACAAACCCTAATAGAAGTCACAAAACATAAAACAGGTTACCAAACAAAGCTGGGATACCACTCACAGACACGAAGAGTAAAACAGAAAACTGACGCAGAACACTTGGACAAATAGCAGGGTCCCCTTTGCTAATGCAAAAAAGCTCAGCCTGCGGCAGCCTCCCTTAATCTCCCACATTCACTCTTCAGCACTTTCTCCATCATCATCTTTGCTTAGTTAAAATCCAAACCCCTGCAAATCCCAAATCCTGGTTGGCCTCCAAGACCAGGCCCACTAAGTTAAAAAGCAAATCTAGTTTACGTGAACATTTTGTGGAAGAGCATAGAGCCTTAGGATAAACCCCCGAAGCAGGAGGCATTGCTGGAATTCTGAGAACTTCCCCTGAGTTCTGTGACTGTGACTCAGTCCAGGCCTTTACTCATTCGCCTGAGTTTTATAGAATTAAGTCATGTACAAATTCACTTCTGGATCCAGGAAGTCGTGGCTAAAAGAAACTTTCATGAACTGAACCCTCAGTTGGAAGAAGCTGTTAATATTAGACTGAATTGCCCTGATTGGCTAAATCGGCCCCTGGAAATTCACTGGTGCAGAAACTCTGATTTTTTTAGGTAATAAAGCTAAAGTATGTCACCCTTCTCTGAATTCGAAATATATAGTCTCAACTTTGTGAGATTGGCCCTGGAAAATTTACTTTTTTTTTTTTTTTTGAGACAGAGCCTCAAGCTTTCCCCCTGGGTAGAGTAGAGAGACCGCCCTCTGTGTTAAAGGATTTAAGGTCTTTAAAATGGTCAAGGTTTCAGTGATCCTTAAAGATCACTATTTTAGTGGTAGCAAAA